ATCTCTTGGGTTTTTTTATGGTTTTTTTTTTTTTTTTTTTTGGAGGCAAACTTGTGCGTGCTGTCCCACTTTTACATCTAAAGAAAGAAGAAATATCCAGTGAGTAATCCATTCGGTGGCACTGAGCCACCAAAGAGAGAGAAGTGGAATTAATTGGAGGCAATACGAGTGCTTACTGAAGAAGGAAACGTTGCTTAATTCGCTCTTCTTATTGCATCCCTCCAATCCTCACTGAGCACAGCCTTCCAGAGGTTTGCTGAGAGCAGCCCCGGTGTTGTTCCGCATCACTCCCAGGCAAATGGAAGCGAAGCACTTCCAAGTCACATCCCCCGCTCTGCTACAATCCTACGTGTGAGAAATTGCAGGTGAAATGAGGACAGAAAGCGTGTCACTGCTTTTGTGCCGAGCGCTCCGTGCGTACGGCCACCGCAGGGCTCCTGGGGAGCTGGCTTTGCCCATTCAGCCCACCCAGCGTGGTCACTGAGTTACGCCAGCAGCCTTTTCACCGTGCTCTCAGACATCATTTATTTACTCTGAATACGAAGTAATCTGCTCCTGGCAACCGGCAGGATTTGGGAAAAGCTTTATGAGCTGAGCGGAGACGGCAGAATTCCATCTTTGCTCTCTGGATCTGTGGTTTTAAACTTCATTTAAATCGGGCTCTGCAAGTGTTCCGAAATGCTTTTCTCTCTCTTTTATTCCTTATTGCTCTGTATTTTTTAAATGGTTGCTTTGTTATCATGAATCAAAGGGTGCCACTCGTTTTTCCTCCTCGCTGCCCTCCAGCAGTGCCCAGCACCCTGTGCCACTCTCCCATGTAATGCAGTGGAGAGGCTCTCCAGGATCAGCTCCTGGTGAGGATTCAGGTACATCATCCTGGATGTTATCCTACAGACGAGCCCTCTGACCACCACGTCACACCGTATGGCCACATGCTCCCCATACAATGAATGCAGCATGGTCTGTACCCAGCGACATTGGAGGCTCCATTCCCCATCCCATCCCTCCCACGTGTGCAGTGCTGTGGCCGTGTAGGTGGGACTGGTTTCCCCAGTGTTCAGTCCCAGCCCAGCAGTGAGGAGACATCCCTGAGCCCTCCAGCACCTCAGTGCTGCTTCATTCATCACAGCTTCACCCCAGGATAGTTGAGCAATTCCATTTCTGCTCTTGCCAGCACTCACGGGTCTGTGCAGTTCTTCAGCTCTCCTTAATGCAAAGCACAGCTCTGCTGCTTGCAGTGCTTTGTGACCCACGAGGCGCTGGGGATGGCAGTGAGGCAGCAAGCAATGAGCTGATACCTTGGTGCAGGCATTTTGTGCAGTGCTTTGCCTCTGCTAAACCAGTAGGAACCCGTAGAGCACTTTTGCTGTATGCAGAAGAGGTTGAAGTGTTGAGTTGGAGTCGGGTGTCCGAGGGAGCAGCATCAGTGATGGAGATGTGTTGGGGTTGGGATGCTCGTGATTCTCATTGCTGCCTTTGTGAAAATTGGTGCTGAGATGTCCAGCAGTGACCCCTTTCAGCCTGGAAATGCCACATGAAGCACCTGGAACCTGGAAGTATGTGAAGACTTTAGGTTCCTGCTGTATAACAGATAGCCAACAGTGGCTGTGGTGTGGGTGGATCTGTGAATAAGGCAACTGTTGAGTGAAGGAAGCAACCTGAAGCTGTGGTGGTGAAATTAACACCTCCCCTGAGCCCTGATGGGAGTGCCTGGAAATGGAACTGGGCACTGCTGCCATGCCTCTGGGTAGCTGTGGGCAGGTGATACTTTCTGACCGGGTCCTGCACAGTTTGTGCTATGACATCTCAGTAATGGGAAGGTTCTACCTGGGCTGTGAGCTCTGCCCCACGAGCTTTGCAAATCAAAGCAGTGTTTAATTCTGTAGGAAATAGCATGTCATGTGTAAGAACGTTTGCTGCTCAGAACTGTTGCTGTTACAACTCTGTATGATGGTAATTCCTTCTGAGTGAATTGGCAGTTATAACATCAGAGGGAAGCTATGCTATAGGAATCAACACATCAGTGCTGGGTGTTTTGGGGCAGCAGAGGCTCCATCAGTGTCAGTTGTTCTCTGTGCTGAAGTTGTGGCATTGCCAGAGTGGACATCTCTGGGAAGAGCAGATTCCCTGAGCACAGTGCCTGGGTTTGGGATGGCTTTGTGGGGTGAGCTGCAAGAAGGAAACGTGGTACAGCAGGAGTTTGGCCTTGGGTAGGGCCAGAAGTGGAAGTGGATTCACACTGAGCTTTGGGGTCTTTCCATCTCTCTGTGCCCATCCCTGAGCACAGCCTTCGCCAGCCAGGCTCTGGCTGTGTCACACATGATCTGCAGCAGCAAACAAAGGCTTTAGAGCTGAGCTGGCAGCGCTATTAATTTTTCACAAGAAGAAATCTCACATTAAAAATAGAAAATCTGTGATGGCAAACTCTGCAGTGGCGAAATTCAAAGCAGATCATTGCACTGAGCTCCTTGATGTAGAAATCATTACTGCCATCCGCTGCTTTGTTAGGGGGAAAAAAAAAAAAAAAAGAATAAAAAAGGAAAAAAAAAAAAAGGCTGTGCTGTTGGAGTCTGCTTCAGCATGCAATTAGTGCTGACAGAGCAAGTGACTGCAAGTATTTATCAGCAAGCCTGGAGCCGAGGTCTGGGAAACATTGCAGAGGTAATGCATTACTCATGAATGCTGTGCTTGATTCTGGAAGAGTTTGTGGATGCCTTGTTCCTAACAGCTGTGCATGTGATCAGGTTTGGGCAAATGCCCTCCAGCTGCAGTAGAGCTGTGCCAGAGCAGAGCAGGGACACCAGGCTGGCGTGTCAGCATGGAGCTGCTCATCATCATGGCAGAACTTTCTGGATCTTCACAGAAGCATTAAAGTTGGAAGAGACCTCCAAGGTCATCAAATCCAACCGTTGACCCATTCCCATCATTCCCATTCAAAGAATCATTAAGGTTGGAAAAAACCTCCAAGATCATCAAGACCAACCCCAACCCATCACCATACACCCACTAAAACACAACCTCAGCCCCTTCACTCCACAGCCTTCAGCCCCTTCTTAGCATTGCTGCAGTCCTGGCTCTGCTCACATCCTTCCCAAGCATTTCTGAAGAGTTCTCAGTCAGCCCTGCTCCAACAAGTGCTGTTATTTCCTCTTTTGCAATGGGCAAAGTGGAGCAAAAAGCCCGTGCCGTTTTCCACCTCTCCCTACAGCAGGGAGATGAGTTGATGTCTCTGCACGGATGTGCACCAGCAGCCCTTGTTGTAAAGCTGGCTGCTGTCTGGAGCAGAAGCAGAGCAGCGTGAGGCTGATGAGCTGCAGAGATACGGGGTGTATTGGGGTGATGGTAAGCTTTAATGATCTGGCTGAATGGGGTTGGGTGCAATCTGGCAGTTGCTGCGCTCCCCATCTCTCAGCCCTCAAGCTGTGATGTGCAGTTGTTTGTTTTTGTCTGCACTGTTCCATCTCTCCATGGGCCTTCATAGAGGTCCATTAGTCTGTCTCTTTCCAAAGGGCATGAATTGGGGTGGGAGGGTTCCCTCCTGTTCTAAAATAGGGGAACAAATGGGGAAAAAGCAATGGGAGGGAAGCACGGTGAGCCATGGGTGGCTCAGCATCCTACAACCACATCCCAGCCCTTCTGCTGTGCCAGCTTTCCTTCTCTCCCTTCTGATGCTGCTGTGCTTTGACAGCACAGCCACGTGCAGGCAGCACCTGGCCTTGGTTTTCTGTCTGGACAGAGACGTGCAGATAAACCCCTGCCCTTGTGCAGACGTCTGCTTGCTGCTATGCATGCTGCTTTTTGGCCAGGCTGAGCACTTTGTGCTTTACCAAACAGTGATGAGCTAATAACCTTCCCTGTCCTTAAAAGCCCTTCTGAAGCCGCAGCTTATATCATGTTTGGTTTTGTTTGGCTTGAGGGGGTTTGGTTGCTTTTAGATGGAGTCACATTCTTATTTAGTTCCAGGAATTAAGTGAGTTAAAAAGGGCTCCCTTGAGAGTACCTAGGGGCTTATGGAAGAATCTGAACTTCTTCTCTGCCCTCAATGTCAAGGCTAGGAGTTGCTTTGCTTATTATAGTCTGCATATTTGGTCACAGCAGAATTATTTCTCTTTTTTTGATCAGATAACACTTGGGAGACCTTGGAAAGGCCTCACTTGCTCCCAGTTCTTTGCAGGCAGTGGCAGTGTCTGCAGTAGGGAAATGCATCTCCAGCTTGCAAAGGCCTGGGTTGCTTTCTTTAGCAAATGCAGGCTGTGGAAAGGTTCACAAAGAGGGTATTTGTTGGCCAACCCAAGAACCCTGCAGCTCCTCGAGCACAGAGCACAGTGCCTTACAGGACCTCCAGCAGTTCCATCCCCACCTATACGTGCCATTCTCACCCAAAATGTTTGGCAGCTCATCACTTCTTTGCACTGTGTTTCTGTGTCCATCCAGAGAATCAGTCCCTCGAGTGTCTGAGAAGACACTGCCATCTTCCAATGCCCTGAGCTGGATGTTTGGGCATGGAAAAAGGTCTGCAAAGGCAACTGAGCCAAGGCAGCTGGTGTTTCTGTTATTGTGTTTTGTATTAAAGGAGCTGTGTGTGTTTCTTAGCCTGTTTTTTTGGGTTGTCAGCCTGGCAGGTCCTGCACCACAGCCTCTTTGCTACTGCAAAAGTGGAAATTGCATTTGGAAGAAGTTTTAGTGAATGCAGAGTGCCATCAGTCTGCAGAGTGTCACAGGGTGGGGGATGCAGCTGTCACTTAAAGGCCATTTTCAAAGCACGGGTGTTTTCAGTGTGTCATTTTCTAATGGCTTCCATTGGTAGTGTGCTCTCCAAATTAGAGTCTGCTCCACAGAATGACTTTAAAAACAGCACCGTGGCTCTTGTGACATCATTCCTTCGAAAAAACGGAAAGGATTTGGTGGTTTCAGCTCCGTCTCCCAAAAGCTTTCCTCTCTGACGCCCTTTTGTTGGTACAAGACGTTAAATACTGATGTGCTCCTTCTTCTCTTTCCAGGAGTGGCCACACACTGCTTGCCTTCTGGTTTTCCCGTCAGGAAGGAAAACTAAACCGACAGCAAACGATCGAACTGGGACATCACATCCTCAAAGCACATATTTTTAAGGTAAGGAAAACGAAGTTTTGCTCCAACCTCATCCCAGTTGTGTGCAGTCCACCTGCACCAGCAGCATTTGGTCTGTTCTTGTTTTAGGGTTTCTGTAAGAGATGTGGTTTATTAGATTTACAGAATTGGCAGCAGCATATAGGAAATTCTTGAAAGTAAACTAAAACATGGGTTAATCAGTGAGGGAAAGGTACTGTCTGTCTCTTTGGGCCTGAGATGGGCACAGGATGGTGCAAGCGCTGGTACTGAGGCTGGGAATGGATGGTTTTCCTTCTTGAGCACAAGCATCCTCAAACAAACAGTTTGGGAAGCACAAGTATGAACATTTGAGTGTCTTAAAGTGATCACCTAACAGGAGCACAGGTCTTACGAGGAGCAGCTGAGGGAGCTGGGATTGTTCAGTCTGCAGAAGAGGCTCCAGGGAGACCTTCCCACTCTGTAACAACCTGAAGGGAGGCTGTGAGCTGGGGGTCAGCCTCTTCTTTTACGTAAGAAGCGATAGGAGGAGAGGGAATGGCCTCAAGTTGTGCCAGGGGAAGCTGAGGTTGGACATTAGGAAATGCTGTTTCTCCAAAAGGGTGGGCAGGAGCTGGAATGGGCTGTCCAGGGAGGTGGGGGAGTCACCGACCCTGGCGTTGTTCAGGGAAGGTTCAGACGTTGTGTTGAGGGATGTGGTTTAATGAGAACTGTTGGTGATAGGCAGACATTTGGACTGGATGATCTTGGAGGTCTTTTCCAGCCTTGGTGGTTCTTTGATTTTCTGTGGAAACCCAACTGGGAAGTGTGGCATGGAAGGGAAGGGCAAGAACAGAAACGCTCAGTCGTGATACAACAGGACCTAAACTTCAGGCAAACAGATATTTTACAAACCAAGCAAGGAGATGTTGCAGACAGGTTGCCCAAGGAGGCTGTGGATGCCCCATCCCTGCAGGCATCCAGGGCCAGGCTGGATGTGGCTCTGGGCAGCCTGGGCTGCTGGTTGGCGACCTGCACACAGCAGGGGGTTGGAACTGGATGAGCATTCTTTTCAACCCAAATCATTGCACGATTCCATGACTTGCCCAGATGTCCTTGTCATTGTGATGCCAATGGCGCTGGGTGTCTTTAGTCCCTAAAGACTCAATGTCATCTTCTGTGTATTGCATTAATACCTGAGCATACACATTTAACCACAGTTGGGATTTCTGTGGCGTGATGCTATGATTACCTTCAGATGGCTGTTCAGAAAACATGTGCTCACTCCCTCGTCCTGTTGATGACTTATACAGCTTATTTGTGGGTTCAATAGTTTTATAACTACTTTTTAATTATTTTATTCGTTGTAAAATTATTTTCCCTTTCCCCCATTGCTCTAGGTTGGGTTCATTGAAATTTAATATTGACCTCTGATATGGTGTACCACAAAAGCAGTGCTTAATCATTGCTAAAATTCCTCATTGCTTTTTCTGCCCTGAGCTGAAGCAACTATTTCTCTCTCTTTAATTTCCTGAATTTTGAAGAAAAGAAGCTCGTTATGGAGGTCTGTAACCCAGCCCAGCACGGGTGCAGGTGGGGATCCTGCTCTGAGCATCCTCCCTGGGATAGAACAGACCCCACTGTCTGCTGATGGCATTCATCCTGCAGCCCCATACTGCAGAGGGGCTTCCGAAATAGCAAAAAATAGAATAAATGACCTCACAGCACTGAGGAAACAGAAATCAGGGCTTGTGTATCATGGCTAGAGATGGCTGTACAGTTTCCATGGAAACAGCAGAGTTAATGGTAAATCAATAGCAGAACAGCACAGTGTGGGGGGGGTACACACAGCACTGTCTGTGTGTCAGGGCTGCAGACACATCCCTGTGTGGTGGATCTGGCTGCTGGCACATTGGTTCCAAAGCAGTTGTCCCCTTGGTAGGAGGAGGGATGCTTGCTTATGAGTGCTTACACATGCCAACAGGAAGGGTTGGGGGCAGTCTGGTGTTAGATATGGAAATGTTAAGGCTTCCTTAATTTGTCCTGTTGTGAGCACGCGTTGTCATGTAGTTTAAGCGTGTGAATAATAAGGAAACTCTGTGAATCAGTTCTGCCAAAATAAGACGTGCTTTATACAAAAAGAAGAATAGAAGCGTGCCGTGCTCCTCAGCACAGCATCTTCTGGGGGAGGTGAGCGGGTTTGGGCTGCTTGCAGCTTCATCCTGCCTTGCATAGACCTTGCAGATGGCTGCAGCAACTTTGCAGGTTGTTTCCTACAAGCTGATTGATTCACCCTAAGGAGCAGATGTTGTGCATCGACATCTTGTGTCTTCAAACTGCACCATGTCCTTATGCCTGGGAAGATCAGTGTGGTGTGGTTCCAGGGTACCTGGAAGCAGCCTCCCATGCAGAGCTTGGGGATTACAGTTAAATTGGTGTGAGTGTGGTTACTGAATTAGTCCTGGTCTGCCAGGCTGGGCTTGCGTTGTGTAAAGGAGAGGGCTTGGATCTATGCTGTCTTTTCTTTTTCATAGGGGCTGAGTAAAAAAGTTGGGGTGTCTTCCTCCATCCTGCAAGGGCTTTGGATCTCCTACAGCACCGAGGGTCTTTCCATGGCTTTGGCATCGCTGAGAAACCTCTACACCCCAAACATCAAGGTACAGCGGGGAGGGGAGAGCTGGAGAGGCTCCAGAGCTCCATGGGGAGCTTCCATCACCCCATAGACCAGGAGGAGGATCTTCCTGGCTTTGATGGATCTGCTTAGAAACACACAAAGGGCTCTGATCTCAATTCCTGTATTGCCCTGAGAGTAAACTCATTTCCATCCTTAACACTCAGCTAACACGCCTTCCTTCTGCTCTGCAGGTCAGTCGGTTGCTGATTCTAGGAGGTGCCAACGTGAATTACAGGACTGAAGTTCTGAACAACGCCCCAATTCTGTGCGTGCAGTCCCACCTGGGGTACACAGAGATGGTGGCTTTGCTCCTGGAGTTCGGTGCCAATGTAGATGCTGCTTCTGAGAGCGGCCTGACCCCCCTTGGGTACGCTGCTGCTGCTGGGTTCCTGAGCATCGTTGTGCTGCTGTGCAAGAAACGGGCCAAGGTATGGTGACTCCCCTCTGCTCAGCTCTTGTGAGGCCCCACCTGCAGCACTGCATCCAGGCTTGGGGCTCTCAGCACAGGAAGGATGTGGAGCTCTTGGAGCGGGTCCAGAGGAGGGCAGTGAGATGGTCAGAGGGCTGGAGCAGCTCTGCTGTGAGGAAAGGATGAGGGAACTGGGATTGTTTAGCTTGGAGAAGAGAAGGCTCCAGGAGACCTCATTGTGGCCTTCCAGTAGTTGAAGGAAGCTTATAAACGAGAGGGGAAAAGGCTGTTTATGAGATAGATAGTGTAGAGTAGATAGTGGTTTAGCTGTTTATGAGGGTGGATATTGATAGGACAAGGGGGAATGGTTTCAAACTGAGACAGGGGAGGTTTAGGTTGGATATGAGGAGGAAGTTTTTCAGCCAGAGGGTGGTGAGGCACTCAAGCAGGTTGCCCAAGGAGGCTGTGGATGCCCCATCCCTGCAGGCATCCAAGGCCAGGCTGGATGTGGCTCTGGGCAGCCTGGGCTGCTGGTTGGTGACCTGCACACAGCAGGGGGTTGGAACAGGTGATCATTGTGGTCCTTTTCAACCCAGGCCATTCTGTGATTCTATGGCTCCGTTCCTCCAACAGCTGGCATACAGTGTTCCACACTCAGAGCATGAGCTGCAGGCAGAAGATGTCCTGCTTGTAAAGAACATCCCTATGAGGCGAACACAGCGTGCTGCTGCAGAGGGTTTGCTGCTTAAAAAGTATGGCCAGTCCAAATGTCACATCAGCACCAAAGGCAGGCAGCTCTGGGCAGTCCTAATGGGTTTTCTGGAATGCAGGTTATGCAGGAGCTGCCTAATTGTGCTGCACTGATGGCCTGCTGAGGTCTGTTCTGGAGAAGTCTTTGAACCTCACAATGCAAAAATGGCAGCACTGCTTCTGCAGCACGGAGTGTTCTTTAAATACCTCGTTGAGACACATCTTCCAAAAACTTCTATCAGACTTGTCCTAGAAAAATACCCTTTTTTTAGCTCTCTGGTGAGCGTTTGGAGTTTTAATTGGATGTAATGAGTCACGTTTGAATACTTGGTTAGAGAAGAAAGTTGTGCTGCTATTTGAAGTGAAGCCTCCTGGAAACAATTAGTGGTTTCCCTGTATGGCTAGCTTCAGTTCAAAATGCAAAACGTGGGGTTGTGAAGCTGCAGTATGAATGTCAGGGTGACTGAGGGACTTCTCAGACCTTGCTCTGTTGTCTGTTATAATGTGAGGACAGGAGGAAGTGACACTGTTTAATGTCACTTCTGTTGGGATATTTTAAGAGTCGAGTGAACCTCTGGCATTTGCTGGGGATTTGTTCCTGCTCTGAGAATAGGAATTCTGGGGATAAACTCAGTGCAGAAGGCTTGCCCAAGCTTTCCTTGAGTATCCCTAAGCAAAGAAATCCCAGCTGATGTATTCTGGTGAGCTGTGCCCCATCCTGAGCAGCCGAGCAGAGGAGCTCTTGCAGAGCTGCCAAATGAAATCTGTTTCCTATTGACTTCTGCTTGCATCAGGTTCACATCAGGGTGTCAGGCTGCAGCTGAGGCACTTCTGTCTCTCTTGAATGAATCCTGAGATGGTATCTGGGAAACAAGCTGCTCTCCTTTGTGGATTTGGGGAAGGGAGACGACAGCGTGTGTATGATTGCAAGGAAACACGATTGCTGTATTCAGGATACAAAGGGAAAATAGTTTAGCAGCCTTTGAGTCTGAAGAAGACCACAGTAAAATGGCAGCTTATCCAAAGCAAACACTTGTGGCCAAGAGGATGCCTCAGCCCTGGGCAGTGCCTTTGGGAAGAGCTGCTGTCTGCTCATGGAAGGGACAGTTAGCAGAAGAACGCACATTTTGCACACGTGGCGTGATTCTGAAACCAGGGCTGGAAACTGAGAAGGAAGGAAGATGCTTCACCCGAGGTTTGGCTTCGCTGCATTTTTGTCACCTTCTCTTTTCAAGGTGGATCACTTGGACAAGAACGGTCAGTGCGCGCTGGTCCACGCCGCCCTCCGAGGACACCTGGAGGTGGTGAAGTTCCTGATCCAATGCGACTGGAGCATGGCTGGGCAGCAGCAGGGGGTGTTCAAAAAGAGCCACGCCATCCAGCAGGCCCTGATCGCCGCAGCCAGCATGGGCTACACAGAGGTAAGGCTCCCAGCCCATCGCTCTCCATGGGACACCAAAGGTTAACCATGATTTCTAGCCAAAATATCAATCAAGGAGGGCTGGGAGGTGGAGCCGTCATTGACTTGACTTCAGATTTTGCTTTGGTTCAGTATAATCCATAAAAACGTAGATAACGTGCTCAGATCAGAGGAGCTAATTAAAGAAAGCTGGGTAATTGCTATTAGCTTAAAGTGACTGTGAGTTGAACCAATTAGAAGCAGATGTGACTTCAAAACCGTACAGATCTGCACGCTGACATCATTTGTAACAGGGCACGGAACTTTGCAAATGAGAATTTTCCCCCAACCCATAGCAGTCACCTTAGTAACTTACAAAAGCAGTTTCATGTTTGTTATACCCCAAATGCACGTGGCTGCTTACAGAATATAGTGCAGGTTCCTGCTGGGAGGTGCTTGCAGGCACAGCTATGAGCTGATGATAAACTTGTTGAGTTTTCCAGCTTTGGTGATGGAACAAATGTCTATAATTGATCCTGATCACTGCTGGAGCCACACCAGAGTCCTTGCTGGGATCTCTGGGAGAGTATTTACTCGAGCTGAGGGTTCCAGGCAGAAATTCAGTGCCTTCTCCTCAGTGTATGCAGAGCAGCTCTTGTTAAAATGTCAGCAGTTTATCTATAATGCATGGAGGTTTGTGAGCTGACATGTCATTTTGTTTTAGATTGTCTCCTACCTGCTCGACCTTCCAGAAAAAGATGAAGAGGAGGTGGAGCGAGCACAGATCAACAGCTTTGACAGTCTCTGGGGAGAGACAGGTGATTTCTGCAGATCTCTAGCTTCTCCTGCATGCTTATGGTTGTGTTTCCGGGCTCCTGGTACACCCCTGATCCCTGCTTTGTTCTGACAGAGAGGATCCCTTCCTCTGCTTTCATTTTGGGTGATTTACAGATGCCAAGGTGCTTAAGTAGACAGTTGGGCTTTGGGAAATCCTGAGCTTCTGCAGCTCCTAATGCTGGCTTGAAGCTTAGGGCACACAGCAGCTGACTGCCAGCCCACTGGTTTCTGAAACATCCCATGTTAAGTCAGGTGGATGCACACTGCTGCTCGTTCTCTCTTGATACTTTGCATATTTACTCAAAGCATCTCCGTTCTGCTCTCCCCTTCCCTGTAACACACAGCACTGATTGCTAAGCTATCCATTTTTTAACACCTGCTAATAAAAAAGAAGTCTTTTGTGCAGTGCTCTTCCAGGTCTAACACAGAAACCCTCCTTTCCTCACTGCCCCCAAAACAAAAGCAGCCATTCCCCCCTTTTTTCCTCACACACACAAGTCATTCTGTCATCTCCATTTCTTGAGCTATTCAAACCTGGCCTTGTTGGCTTTTGACTCCAGTGACCTCTTGAATATTACCTGCTGTCTCCTGCACTCAGCTCACCAATCCACTTGCATCAGTGCTCCTGTCGAGCTGAGGCACTGCTGTGTGGTCCCTGTCTGGGTGAGAGAGCTCTGCCTTCAGCTCCATCAGCTCTGTTTAACAGTGACATGCTCCGGGCTGCAGGCACTGCTGTGCTGGGCTCAGGTTGGCTGCAGTTCAAGGAGGGAAGGGCTGGGTTATGGTCTGAGCTGATTGGCACTCAGTACTTCTGAAAGTACAGTGCTGTAATGGATGGAGCTTGCTGGGAAGTATTGCCTCTGAGCGTGCTCTGCTTTAAATGGCAGAAGGAGAGGAGTGAGGTGTGCCAGCATGGAGTGGAGCATGGGGGAAAGCAGCAGCTCACTGCACACACAGCCACAAAGCAGCAAGGGCATGCTGCCTTTATTGGTGGAAATAATGCCACAGATGTACAAGTAAACCATTTAAAAGTGCCCCAAGGGCGTCACAGAGCAAAAAAAGAAATTGGATATAGGATTCTTCAAATGAAATGATGGAGTATTGGCAGTTAGTAACAAAACAGTGGCATTTTTATTGGTGAGCCAGGTCGTAACCCAGGTCAGAGATGGCTCATCCAGAATGTGCACTGCTGAAGGGTAGCAGATAGATGGTGGTCCAGATGGCTTCAGAGTTTGGTTAGAAGTGGTGAACACGTGTCCCTGCAATGTGCCTCAGAGGCAGCATTGGGTAATGCAGATGTTCTTCTTGGGTTAGAATAGTCCTGGTTGTCTGGATAAGCTGGCAGAGCTTGGTGGAGAGCCCTGCAGCTTTCCCAGCTGTTCTGTGGCTCTGCTGTTCCCTCCAGCTCTGCCTTTGCAAGTCACAGCCCTCCCATCCTTACTCTCTTTCTGCTCCCAGCACTTTGCTGCATGCTCTTCTCCCTGCAAAACCCCAGCTCTTCTTTTCCCTCACATCTGAGTGGCTCTGCTATTCCCAGTCTGCTGCCCCAAGGACTCCAGCAGAAACCTTTCCCCACTGTCACCTTCCTCCCATACCTCTCCCCTTCAGTGCACTCACATCTAGAAGGGATAGCTGGCAGTGCAGACTGCTGATGAGCAAATGGCACAGAAACTGGGGAGCTGTTAGAAATGAACCCTCACTTATCCATTACAACAGCTGTGGGTAAGGCAGGAAAAGGAGCAAAACTGAGCCAAGCACCAAATGCAGCAGTCCTTCCTTCCATCACAGGTAAGATAGGTTCATATGGATCACAAGACTCCCTTGCACATTGTTCTAATTTTATTTTCCCAAGAGTAAATAGTGAGTTTAGTTTGCACTTGAAGAGAAAACGCTCATTTCCACCATTTTTTCTATTCCAAAAATAGCAGGCTGCTCTAAAAATCCAAGTGGGGTCTGTTCTGTCTTTTGATACTTGTTGCTCATGTGTCTGATGTGTAGAGCAGAGATTGGCTCAGTGATGTCAGCCTGATCTCATCCCATAGCAGCGCCAAGTTACATCATAAGGTCAGGAATTGCTGACAGCACAACTCCAGATGGATCGTGTGCCCCCGGGATGAGGCTCCCATCAAACCCAGCACAAAAGCATCTGAGTCACTTGTAACAGCTCCATCAGGGCTGGAGGTGCAAGAGCAGCAATACCGCCTGCGTGTGTCCTGCTGCCAGCCCCTGACATGGACCAGAGCCCACTGCAATGTAGTGATTCCTTCTGCAGATCAACTTTGTTTTGCTGTAGGAAAGCAGGCACGCTTTGCACAGCAGGCAGCGTGCTGCAGCAAATCCCTTCTGCTGGAGAGCTGACATCCTCATGATTGGAGGATGGAGTCAGCTTGGGTTTTGTTGGATGTGTTTTGGGAACTGCAGCAAGTGTTTCATGGCATCTGTGCCAAGCCTTGGTTATTGCAAGGTGTGATAGCATGGCATTCAGTTCTCCTGGAAGAGCTGTAGTGTAAACACTCCCATTTTCCAGCTCCGGTCTCCTCTTGCTGGCTGGGCTCATTGGGCTCAGTTGTTCACACCAAAGCCATCAGCTCTCAGGCAGCAAAACTTCAAACCATTTCTCTCGTTTCATCTCCTTTCCTGGCCCTTTCCAGTCTTTGGGCAGCAGGAGGGAAATTGTGCCTTGCACTGTGGGTTCTGTGGTGGCTCCTGGAGGCACGTCAGATTGCATGGGGATGTGAGCAGGTGGATGCATGCACCTGAGAAGTGCTAAAAGCTTGAAGTGGGTGTTTGCAGGAGGCTTCCCAAAATGGTTTAATTGAGCTTTGGAACCGGGATGGATGAACAGAACTGCTGCCACAGTGCTGCAGGACAGAGGAGTGCAGCAGAGCAGAGCTGAGAAGGGCATGGCTACAGATCCAATCGTCCTGTTCCAGTAAAGTCTCTTCCAAAGTCTTTTTTGTGGTGAACACAGACGGTGTGGCTGCTTTACATAAATCATTTTGATGTGAAATACCTGAAATTAACCCACAACACTTCAAGTGCAGGCAGGTTTAGAAATAGAACCCCAAAGCCCTGCGTGCTGATCGCTCTGCCGTGCACATTGGTCACAGTCCTGCTATATTGGTGGCTTACGTTTAAAACCCACATGGATCTGATTATAGGTGCTGCAGTATGTTCTGCTCGTGGTAAAGGGATGATTTTTCTTTTAACTCTTGCTGTCTCTCAACTCCGAGCGAAGAAGACTCGAGCATAATGTGGAACAGAAGAGAGAATTAATTAAATCCCCCACCATTAACAGTGATGGAGTTGGAAACCCATCAACACCTCGTAATCAGCCGTCCCACAGAAATGTACTTCAGGGAAAAAAACAAGCGACGTCAGTTAGAAATAGACTCCCACCTTCTGCTCCAACTCCCACCGGAGGCAGCGCTGAAGTGCACAGAGAGCCGGGGGGAGGAGAGAAGGAGGAACTGGAGTGTCTAAAATTAATACCAAAGACGAGTCAAAGGCAGGTCCTGCATTCGGAGCTGTTTTTGGATGTGTCTTTTCGAACCCACCCTGACTTTTTGGGTTGGCAGAGCGGAGTTGGACAGGGAGGAGGTATCGGCTGTTTCTTCCCAGCCCACTGAAGCTGAGAGAACAGAGAATCATAGAGTCATAGAATGGCCTGGGTTGAAAAGGACCACAATGATCACCTGGTTCCAACCCCCTGCTATGTGCAGGTCGCCAACCAGCAGCCCAGGCTGCCCAGAGCCACATCCAGCCTGGCCCTGGATGCCTGCAGGGATGGGGCATCCACAGCCTCCTTGGGCAACCTGTTCCAGTGTGAGATGCTTTGGTTTTTGCACAAAGACTGTTGCAGGTGGGGTCCGTCCTGCCCAGAAGGAGCGGCCAAACCGAGCATTTTGCATGAACAACATCTGAGTGCATAGACACCACTTCTGCTTTCCAGTTACTCCAGAGATCTACAGGCTGACATAAAAAAAATCCCCCATCTCAACAACGCTGCTCTGGGTTCATTCCAACAGAGGACAGCCCAGAGCTGGCTGCTAGGAAACTGTCCCTGATCCATCCCCCATCCTCTGTTGGCATTGCCCATTGGGTGCTGTGGTTGGGGCACCGTGGAGCCATCATGGCTGCTCCCCTCACTGCCTCTTCTCTCCACAGCACTGACAGCAGCTGCAGGCCGAGGGAAGCTGGATGTGTGCCGGCTGCTGCTGGAGCAGGGAGCTGCTGTGGCACAGCCCAACCGGCGCGGCGTGGTGCCTCTCTTCAGCGCCGTCCGGCAGGGCCACTGGCAGGTGAGCATCCCATCCTACCTCTGCCTGGTTGGAAATGATCTCTCGGATCCCCAGGCCGAACACCAGCCCATCCCACCGTGCCCATAACCACGTCCTGCAGTGCCACGTCACGTTCCTTGAACACTTCCAGGGATGGAGACCCCCTCATCTCCCTGGGCCGGCTGTGCCAACACATTGCCACACTTTTGGAGAAGAAATTGTCCCTAATTCCCCATCTGAACCTCCCGTGGTACAACTTAAGGCCGTTACCTTTCATCCTGTTGTTGGTCCCTGGAGCAGAGACCGATCCCCTCCTCATTACAGCCTCCTGTCAGGGAGCTGTAGATAAGGTCAGCCCCCTGCCCAGCTTGCTTTCCAGGAAGGTTTTCCAAACCCTTAACATGCAGGGACCACTGTGGACCTTCTGATCTCCCATCTCCTTCCAGCACTCCTCCAGGTGTGCCCTTGCTTTGTGTGTTGCAGATTGTGGACCTGCTGCTCACCCACGGCGCTGATGTGAACATGGCAGACAAGCAGGGCCGGACACCGCTGATGATGGCTGCATCCGAGGGACACCTGGGCACGGTGGAATTTCTGCTTGCACAAGGTTAGAGCACGTGTTTGGAGCACGTTGGGGTCTGACCACAGCAAGTCCCCTCCCAGTACCTTCTGCACTTCCTTAGGGATGGGGATTGTGGCCCCATCGCTGGGTTGGGCAGTGGGAGAGGTCCCCATCACTTGCCCAGCTGTTGGAGGGCACAGTTATGGGCGATGTACTCATCTTGGCTGTATGGTTTGTTTTCTGTGTTTGACACTCACGGCCTCCAAACCACATATTGTGTAGGAATGACAGTGGCAGTGTTAGCAGAGGTGTTACTGGCACTGAGGGCAGAGTGTGCCCCTGAGTTGTGCTTCCACCTTTTCCCTCAGACAGAAATTAATGAGCAAGACCACAGAGTGATGCTCAGCGCCAGGGCCAGGGGTTGGGGCATGTTATCACTCCCATTTTCAGTGCTAGCATCGCTACCCATGGTTTTGACACCCACATGAATGGGATGGTAAAACCCTCACATGGGAAAGGATTTGGTGTGTTGAGCGTTTCGAAGATGGTGTGCTCTTCAGGTCTAGTACTCACAGATCCACCTTGCTCAGTGCTTTTAGTGTCTAATAACTGCTTCGCTCGGAGTCATTCAGTCAGCAAGAATGTATTTCAGTTTTATTCCTTTCTGATGTCACGTTTGAGGTGATTCAGAGCAGCACGCTGCCTGCTGCCTGTACAGACACCACTGTTTGTCCTTCCTTAAATACAGGCCAGTGGGCTGCCCTGCATGGGGCTGTGTCAGTGATCACGAAGCTGAGGGTCCAAGAAATCAAAACCATAAAAACCTTTTGTACTTGAAAGGGACTGTTCATCTGAGTAGCTCGTTAAGCAGCACTAAATCTGCCATAACACATGGTCCTGGGCAGAGTACAGTGATATATAGGATATGTTAATTAAAATGGCTTTAACAATCCTGTTTAATGTTTCATTAAAATCAAAGTGTGTGAATCATAAGCCATAAGCAGTAATTAGAGTGTTGCAAAGCAAATCTCGTTTGGCTGTGCTTGATTAACGCAGCCAGCGTTTGTAAACACTTTTTATTAACCGAGTTGCAGTCCTCAATCAACTCGAAATCCAGACTGGTGGAGTTACCTGCTGCTCTGTGAGCACCTGGGAGGAGCAGAGCTGTGAACCATGAATTAAACCTCCCTGGTTGTACCTCTGCCAGAGCAGCTGTTGGTCCATTGGCTGTTGTATCCAGACAGAACCTTTCCCACTGCAGCAGGGTTCTGTCCTATGATGGCACTTGAAGCCAGTTCCCCTCCAAATATTCTACTTTGTTCCACGTCCTTAACACTGAGTGGGTCAGAGGACCCTGGGGAGTGCAGGATGCATTAAAGAGCAGAGAGGCACACAGAGGTTCTGCTGGGAGTCTGGCTCTGCTGGGTCACTGTCTGCTCGCTGGGACCTTCAGCTTGGATCACTGCATTGGTGCCCTGAAGTCTGACTGTGTCACTCTGTTGTGTGGTGGCTCTTCCCTTGGACTGGGGAAGGAATGGGATGGTTGGGTGATGGTGCAGCTTTCCAGCCTTCCCTCTTGGTGCAGGAGCCTTCCCACCTGCTCCAAAAGTCAGGGAGGGAAAAAACAACAGGAGAATTGTAAAATATCCCGAGTTGGAAGGAACCCATAAGGATCATTGAGTACAACTCATGGATCTGCACAAGAGAATCATGGAATCCTAGAATATCCCAGATTGGAAGAGACCCATAAGGATCATTGAGTCCAGCTCATGGCTCTGCACAGGACCACCCGAACCCAAAGAACTTTGTTTAATTGCAAGAAAGAAGCTGGTACAAATGAGAAGCAATGAAATGAGGTTTATCCTTTGTAGTGGAGCAGCAGTTGGCCTCAGCTAGCTGAGGATCATCTCGAGAGCTTTCACAGAAGGATTTGTGGATTCCACATGGGGCAGTGTTACAGCAGGTTGCAGGAGGTGAGGAGCAGTGTTGGCAGCAGTGCCACCTCAGCACAGCAGATTGCCCCAGCCATGCAGTGCACGCAGCAGGCACAATGCTGAGGCTGTGCTGAGAGCTTTAGATGCAGATTTGTGAACATAACCTCCAGCAAATGTTCACGTTGTTTTGCTCCTCCACAAACAAGATGGGCGAGCTGGAAGACATAGCAGCTCGCTGTCATCTGGGCAATGTGTGCTACCCAGGGATGTGTCAGCTGGGATGAATGGGAACTTCAGGACGTTCACATTCCTCCCCCACTTGCTAAGCTTTCTGGAGCCAGGGAGAAACACATGCTTGAGAGTTTACCTACAGGAGGAAAACACTGCAGCAGCGATTCATGCCAAGCTGCTGGCAGGAGCATCCCACAGGTAGGCACAGCTCCTCGGAGCAGCAGAGCTGATGCACATCTCTTTTGCACGCTGGAGAGTGAGAGCCCTGCGTGTGCCATGGCAACAGGAGCTGTCTTTGTGCCACGCAGAGGAGTGTTCACTTAATGCTGCTGTTCGAATCACGTCTGCGGATCCATATGCGGTGTGAAGCGATGCTGACCCGTTGGTATGGCAGCGCAATTTCTGCATCCAAGAAAATGTCAAGTTCCCCCCTCCTTGGCTTGCAGTTGGCAGTAGTTTATCCCACAGCGTTGTATTTATATTGGGTAAAGTTCAGGGAGAAATACTGCTGGAAATTGTGTCGATTTGGGTAGAAGGGAGGGGGGTGAAGAGGGGAAATATGCTTTTAGGGAAGAATGGGGGTGATTTAGTTCCCCTGGTATGCTGTGACCTGCTGAAACAGCAGAATGGCCCCCATCTCTGACTCACACAGGCTGGATTAAAAAAAAAAAAAAAAAAAAAAAAACACCAAAAAATAGTTAAAAGGAAGGATTGACATCAGCTGAGGGATGTCACATCCACCCTGCTGCTCACAGGTTTTTGCCAGGAGGGTCTGCGGAGCGAAGTGTGAACAAGCCTGCAGCTCAGTATGAATAAACTTGCTTGCACAGCTCCTATCAGTGCATTTCGAGTTGTGATGGAGGGTGAGCTGCAGAGTGAGAGAAATACTAATAAAGTAATTAATAATTACATATATCATTCTCTAAAAACAAGCTGTCATCACTGTGTGGAGAGTTTGCGATGGTTTGTTGCGTCATAGTGCTTGCAAGTCAGCTGCCGCTTGTCCTTCCAGGTGCCTCCATTTCTCTGATGGACAAGGAGGGCTTGACAGCCCTCAGCTGGGCTTGCCTGAAGGGCCACCTGGCTGTGGTGAGGGCCCTGGTGGAGAATGGGGCAGCTACCGACCACGCTGACAAAAATGGGCGCACACCACTGGACCTGGCAGCTTTCTACGGCGACGCGGAGGTGGTGAGTGGCAGAACCAAAAGGGCAGCTTGCCATAACCCCTCCAAGTAGTACTGCACAGCTTGGTGTAGACAGCATGGCTTGGTATAGCAAATCGCAGGGTCATAGAATGGGTCGGGTTGGAAGGGACATTAGAGATGGTAGAACCATGGAATCACAGCACAGTTGAGTTGGAAGGGACCGTAAAGATCATAGAAATATGGAAAGGTTGAGTTGGGCTGGAAGGGACTTTGAAGACCATAGTCACATAGAACCACAGCACAGTTGGATTGGTGGGGGATCTTGAGGACCATAGACACATAGAACCACAGCACAGTTGGATTGGAAGGGATATTGAGGACCATAGGCACATAGAACCACAGCACAGTTGGATTGGAAGGGATCTTGAGGACCATAGGCGCATAGAACCACAGCACAGTTGGATTGGTGGGGGATCTTAAGGACCATAGGCGCATAGAACCACAGCACAGTTGGATTGGAAGGGACCTCAAGGACCATAGACCCATGGAATCACAGCACAGTTGGATTGGTGGGGGTCTTGAAGACAATAGACCTGCATAAGCACATCATGGCTGGGTTGGAAGGGACCCCAAAGCCCCTCTGCCCCACACCCTGCCATAGGCTGGCTGCCCTCCACCACCTTAGGCTGCCTAGAGCGCATCCATGGCATTGGACACCTCCAGGGATGGGGCACCCACAGCTCCAGGCAGCACCAGGACCTCACCGCCCTCTGGCTAAAGATTTTCCTCCCAACATCTGACCTAAATCTCTCCTCTTTTAGTTGGAGCTGGGCAAGCTGGATGTCCTTCCCTAGCAGGCTGACCACTGGTTTGCCATTGCAGGTTCAGTTCCTGGTGGACCACGGGGCCATGATCGAGCACGTCGACTACAGCGGGATGCGTCCCCTGGACAGGGCGGTGGGGTGCCGCAACACCTCGGTGGTCGTCACCCTCCTGAAGAAAGGAGCAAAGATAGGTAGGGCCTGGGGGACGCCTGGTCAGCTGTGTGTGGGGGCACTCGGAGTGAGAACCCCAACCCGGAGGCAGCCTCAGCCCCACTGCTGCTTCGTACCATAAAGCAGCCCCGAGTCAGGAGCGCCGTGTTCACTTGTTAAATTGGGATGTTTTATTGCTGTCGTATCGCTTAGAGAAAGTGAATAAACAACTGTTTCTTTGGCAAGGTCTTTCCTCCGGTAATGCCTTTTCTATCTTTACTAGTCCGAGCCGACAGGCGTGCTGTGTCCATGCATTGCTGTGAGCTGCTGCCTTCACTGCTCTGTATTCGCTTCAGACCTCAGTGTTACCTGCACTGCGCCACGCAGCCGCTCACGTTGCGTTTTCCTGTGAAAGGGGATTTTGCTGGTGCATTGGCTTCTTTGCTGCCTGCCTCTCACAGCTGCTTTTTTCCTTTCTTTTTTTTTTTTTTTTTCTTCTTTTTTTTTTTTTTTTTTCACCTTCATCCATTTTTTTCCCCTCTCTCCTACAACTTTTTGTTTTCTCCTTTCTTTGAAGGTTGTCAGACGTTACCGAGTCGCCCACGAGGTATATCTCATTGCTGTCAGCATCAGCCTCGATCTGATAGCTTTGTCAGCCTTGCTTTCTCCTGTTTGATTTAGCCTGCATGCGTCCCCAACACCTCTAATCTTTTAATTTACCTCACCTTCGAATAATTTTTTTAAATGACTGTTGCAGAGAATAACTTGAACTCAAAAACTAACCTGCTTCCCCCAAAATGTACTGAATCTACTTATAGAAATAGCAGTGACTTATTCCTCCCCCTCACTAATGAGCTGCCCCCAGATTTTGCCACCCCAGTATCAATCAGATAACGATGCTCTGCATTGGGTCCCCTTGTGCTGTCCCACAGCACTTCTTTGCTTCAGAGCATCTCCAGCTCAGCACTAGTTTTTAGCTAGGATTTGCCGCTACACTCATATGTATCTATTAATTCACGAGTAAATTATCGACTGTTACTCTTGATGTAACCACTTGGATTTGCCCTTGAAACGCCTCTCACTCCCCCCACACTTGGCCCTCACCCCATTCTGCAAACAGCACTGCCCTCTCGTGGAGGTGGCTCCCAGCATTTCCCCACATGGCCGTGCTCATTAGTGCCAGCGTTAATGACCGACCACCAAGGAAAAACCATTGCAATGTGGATGCCATTAATTTTAAGTGCAAGAGGAATTGTCAGCTCCATCATTGGGTGCTCTTTTGACCACACCACAAGTTGTTCTCTCCAGCAGAAATTCCCACCCCAGGATATTTTTTCCACCCAGCTTCCTACCACCCTTGCATTGTATGAGTTTTTTACCCATCATGCATCCTGTACACTGCAGGTCCAGCAACATGGGCGATGGCCACCTCCAAACCTGACATCATGATCATCCTGTTGAGCAAGCTGATGGAAGAGGGAGACATGTTTTACAAGGTGAGAAGAGTTCTCTTGAAGAGGTAGGGAAAATGCAGCTTACAGCATGTATCTGTTCCTCCTTTGATAGCAGTGTGAGCAGTGCTGCTGCCTTAAAGCCTGCAGGTTTCCTTGCGCTGAAACTGGCTTTGGATAGTGGGGATGGGGAGGGGGAGGTTGAATGCCAAACTCCCTAACAAAGCTGAAGCAGAGCCAACGCTGTCTGCATTCTGGGCCTGAGCCAGCACTTCATTTCCTCCTTGCAAACACCAGAAACCAAGTGCTTTCCAGAGGTTCTCAGTGCTGATGTCATCCCATCAGATCTGGCAGCGTTGTGGTTACCTGACAGCTCTGGTACAAGGCAACAAGGCAGCATAGCCCAGAGAAGTGCTGTGAAGGAAAAGCAACTTTTTGTGATGGAAGCAGATGCAGGTGGCTTTTTAATTGTCCTCTAGCTCATGGGATGTGTTTTACCATTATGGTTAGAGTTGCTTTTGGTCCTTGCGTTGTTAAGACCTGGAGATCTGCACACACACACAAAAATGTGCAAGTACAACGATTCACTTGTGAGGCTCCAAGGGTAAAACAGAAAATATGCAAAGCTGGCATTGCAACTGCAATTATCTGCCAGAGATACGTGATACGACTCTGCAACCTGAGTCAAAGAGGTTTTCAGGCTTACTGCTCATAACTGCAAAACTTCTGTCTGGGTCATCATGAATTGCATGCATCCCAGATCCCATTCTGCCCTTTTTCTCTCACTCCAGCTGCTATGGATGCCCCCCCTCAGGGCACAGATCATCCCATCCCAAAAACAGGTGCCCAAAATAGCAAGGCTGAGTCACCTTTTGAAGGTGACTGTTGCGTCCCAGTAACGATAAAAGGAACCCAGCTGACAGGCTTAGATGCAGGAACCTAATTTCTAGACATCTGAACTCCAGGAGATGAATCCCAATCCATTTGTCCAACGTCAGAACCACATCAGTGCAGTAGTGCTTATCTTTGCTATTGCTGTGGCACCCAAAGACCAACGCTTTGTGTTCCTTACCCTCCCTAATGCTTGCTGAGGTTTGAGTCAGGCCGGAGTGGTGTGGAAGACTCATTGCCAGGGTGCTGCTCCTCACTGGAGTGCTGCTCCAGTGAAGTTGCACTGGATATGCACTGTGTGGCTGCTGAAGTGCACAGCATCAACCCCTGAGCTGTTAGTGGGCTGCCAGGAATGCATCTTCCCACAGGAGGGATGTAGGGTCCTCTGCAGAGCTGGCTTACTGGTCGCCCAGCTCAGAAGTCCATTTGTCCATAAACCAGATGGAGTTGGATCAAGTTATTAAAACAGTTCTTGATGAGCTTCCCGCTGCCTGGGATGGGAGAACTCAGCTTGCACATGGCATCTGCATTTCCAGATCAGATACTGGACAAATGGTCTGGCTTTCATTTCTAGAAAACAGCTAAATAATGAGCTCATGTTACCTTCACTGCCAGAACACCTGTGGGTCTGGCAGTGCTTTGCAGTAAACTCACCCAAAGGATTTGCTTTGACATGTTCTCCTTCTATCAGAAAGGTAAAGTGAAGGAGGCTGCCCAGCGCTACCAGTACGCCCTGAAGAAGTTCCCCAGGGAAGGCTTTGGGGAAGACCTGAAGACCTTCCGTGAGCTGAAGGTGTCACTCCTCCTCAACCTCTCCCGATGTCGAAGGAAAATGAATGTAAGTCGCTCAGCACACAGAGCCACGTCCCTCCTGCAGCCCTGCCCCAACCTCCATGGTCTCCTCTGTGTGCCCTGGTTGTCCTTAGCAGAGCACAGGCATTTTATATATTGCCAGAGGAGCAAAGTAATGATTTAATATGCATCTCTGGTGATGAAAAATTCATGGCTGTGTTTACAGCGTTCTGAATTTTTTATCACTCCCCTTTGATGGTGATGTGGATTTGGGGGGTGGAGGCATTTTTCACATTTCTAGGGCAGTAGTGAGGGAGGAGGAGCCAGGAGATGCTCTCCTTGGAATGCTAATTAATTTAAAATGAAGGAGCATATGCTTGGGGGGCTGATGCTTCCCCAGGGCAGTGACTCATCTGCAGACACCCCCACTCGCTCCCTCTCCTCCCAGCACTGCTGTAGCACTGTCACTCCCTGCTCCAATCCAGCAGCATCTATCTAGTGACAAACCTCAGCAGCACGTCTGTTCTCCAGCACACTGCCACCTCCCCCTTGCTCTCAGACTTTCACCTCCACAACTTTTCAAGTCTCTGTAGACTCAAAAAGTGATGTCTTCGCCAGCGATGATTGCACGGGGAGGGAGGATGGGATTTTGTGACACCCTCATTGCTTTAAGCTAGGAGGGAGACAGATGAAAAGCAATGAAAAGGAAATCTCAGTGCTGGGGAATGAACAGCACAGTTTGCAGAAGTGTGAATGTTCTCAGCAAGGCAGCCCCCTGATAAGCCTGCACATAAAGGACAAGATCCCCAGCTTGCTGCTCGTTGGGTCGTCCCAGGGTTTGTGATAGAAACTGGATGGTTGTAAGCAGTTGTGCAGTTTTTGCAGCTGTAGGTTGGACCGTGAGGGTAACTGCCTCTTGCCTACATGTCTGCTTTGGTCTGTTAGGTGTTATTTCTTCAGTAACTGAAGCAGAAGGTACAAACACAAGTATTCGCCACAGACCAGACTTGAAAACGTTCCCCTGTAGGTTCAGAAGTAGAAATCTGATTGAAGATGTTTGCATATTTCGGCCAAACTCTAAAATGCCAGCCTCTGGCCCACGGCTGAGAATCTGACAGACCCCCCTGGGGTGAGGCACATGCTGCTCTGTGGCCTCTTTTCTCAGTTGAATCGCAGTGTCAGCTTCTCCCAGCAGTGTGTCCCCATAACAAACCCCAGCATGGACACCCTGGGAGAGATTAAACCTCACCCTGGGTTTTTTTAGGGTACACATGGCCTTACCTGTCCCTGCACACTGGGCTGTGCTGTGCCTATAAACTTCATTTCTGGCAGGGTGGGCTTTGCTTACTGAGTTCTTGGACAAACATGGGGCATTCTTGGGTGCTCTCTGCTAGAACTCCTTGGGGCTGGAGCCTGAGTTGTAGAACCATAGAATGGCCTGGGTTGAAAAGGAACACAGTGATCACCTGGTTCCAACCCCCTGCTATGTGCAGGTCGCCAACCAGCAGACCGGGCTGCCCAGAGCCACATCCAGCCTGGCCTTGGATGCCTGCAGGGATGGGGCATCCACAGCCTCCTTGGGCAACCTGTTCCAGTGCCTCACCACCCTCTGGATGAAAAACTTCCTCCTCATATCCAACCTAAACCTCCCCTGTCTCAGTTTGAAACCATCCCCCTTGTCCTATCAAGTCAAGCAGTGAGCATTCAGTTGGAGGAGATCCTCTTCACACCTGAGCTCAGCACTGTGGATGGGCAGCAGGGTGTGAGCTGATCTCATGGCATTGCAACTCAGCATCACATCTCCATCCTTCGCTGCCACACTCTTCCTCCCTACTCCCAACAACACAACATGCAGGGAGAGGCAAGGGAATAGTGAAATAATGGCCCAGATGGGAGATCTTGGCCACGCAGGTCCTGTTTGTAGCTCCCAAGGTGCCAGCAGTCCTTTCCTTCATGCACAGCTTTGTTCAGCCCTTTTCAAGTATGTCAGTGTTTCAGAGTGGGAAGCTGAGGGCGTGGGAAAGGTTTCCTATCGCTTTCAACTGTGGAAAAAGAATCCTTCATGAGATTACATTCCAGACTCTGTGAGACCAGATGTTTCCTCAAGACTGTAGGTTGTTGGACAGGGATTGCATGTTCTTGTTGGGGACACAGAACAGAGCTGGTGGCACGCAGGCCTCTGGTGGGTGCTCACAGCATCCAGCAGCATGGAAAGGGCTTTGAGTCTTTGGATGTGTCAGCAGAGCACTTTGGTTGTAAGTGATGTGGAATCCATGTGAAACATTCCAGTACTGTCAGTTTTTCAGAGCTAATGTGCAAAATATGTCCGTAATAAGTTCGTTTTCTCCACGGTTTGTGTATGTTTTTATTTTTCTGTCTATTCAATGACTCACCTACCCACCTATTGTAATGACAGGACTTTGGAATGGCAGAGGAATTCGCTACTAAAGCACTGGAGCTGAAACCGAAATCTTACGAAGCTTACTATGCAAGAGCAAGGGCCAAACGCAGCAGCAGGTGAGGAGATAGAGAAAGCTGAGTGCATGCAGCTCTGTGTGAGTGTCCCCACGTGAAGAAGTAGCAAAGGAACATTCCTTCATGAGATGACAAAACTGAGCGTAAATGTTTTTGAGCCATTCATCTTAGCTGAACTTTGAAAACCAGTGCTGCACTGGGAGCCTTTACACCAAGACTGGCTGTCCTTTTAAAAATACACTTGAGTTCAACCTCAGCTTGGACTCAAAGCAAAATATGATTCGCATGATGTGAAGGGGCAGGCTCCTGCTCATCACAGTGCTTTTGTCTGACCTTAAATCCCCGACTCCCTGCCCGGCAGCACTCCTAGCAGGGCAGAGCTGGTGACCAGTCATGCAGTGACTGTGCCAGCTGTTGTGCTTCTGGCCCTCGGAGCACTGGGCTGTGCAGTATGGCCTTTCTGTGCATCTGGAGCCCATGGCATTCCCATGTTCACCCCCTGGAAGTGACCCCCTGTGGGGCTGCCTGCTTCTCCTGCACCCCATGTGGGCGGTGCGATCCTGATCTTCTGTTCTGCTGAGGAGCCCTTCAGCTGAGCCATGCTGACCTTGTGCCTTTCCTTTCATGGCTTTCCTCTCCATTGTTTCCAAAACGCTTTAAGGAAGCCTAAGAACTGGGTTCCAGATAATATCAGTCCCCAGGCATACAAGCATCCTTTTCTCCCCAGGTCTCCAACAGAGACTATGATCATTTCTGCCCTTGTTTGTTTCCCTGTTTGTGCAGCAGCCCTGAGGTCAGCACGCCCAGAGGATGAGGCTTTTCCTCCTTGCACCTGGATTCCAGTGGGCTGTGCAGAAGCTCAGGCTGCTGTTGGGAGATGCTGGGGAGTTTTTATCTCTCTGTGATAAAGCAGCAAACTGGGGTGTTGGCACATCCAGCCCAGGGAGGGCTATCATCCCCCAGGTCACAGCCATGGTCAGATGGTTCTGCTCCAAAGCAAACAACGTCCCTGTAATTGACAGCCCACCTCCCTGAACTCCACCTCCTGTTACTCCTCACAGCCTTGCCGTTGCCATGCCATCCCTGGGGGGGCTGCAGGCTTGCTAACATTGCTCGGACCCTTCATTCTGCAGAAGTTAGCCAAATTCATTGCAGAATTGGAGAGCCAGCTGAGCCTGAAGCTCTGCCCCTGGGAACCCCTGGGTCCTGCAGCCAGCTCTGACGCTGTGTGTGCTTGGCAATGGGCAGAAGCGACGTTTTCACTGGCGTCAGCAGCTGCAATTCCATCAGAGCTGCACTTGTTTACGGCTATAGTGAGCTCAGCTGCTTTGGCTTCGCCTTTGCTAACACAGGGCAGAGCTCATGGTGGTGCTGTGAGAAGTAATCAGTCAGCTGTAATGCACGCTGTGGAGGTGTTCTGCTAGGTTGGGTTGTGCCATCTCAGGACCATATTTCCCCCTCTTTGTGGAGTAGCTGGCGGTATTTACCTTCAGTTTGGATAAAATAAATCCCAGGGAGGGTTGTAGGGCAGCAGCCAGCTGTAGCGGTCACAGTAAACTGGACAAAGCCATTTAACCCCCAACATCCTCCAAGAGCGGCTTCGTTCGAATGCAGAGTAACTTCAGTTCTCCTCTCTGTCCCTTTGTCAAGCAGGCAGTTTGCAGCAGCTCTGGAAGACCTGAACGAGGCCATCAAGCTGTGCCCCAACAACCGTGAGATCCAGCGGCTGCTGCTGCGGGTGGAGGAGGAGTGCCGGCAGGTGCAGCAGCAGCAGCAGCAGCAGCAGCCACCCCCGCTGCCAGCAGAGCCTGAGCCCGAAGCCCAGCATGAAGAGCTGTATTCTGTGCAAGACATTTTTGAGGAGGAGTACCTCGAGCAGGACGTTGAGAACGTTTCCATTGGCTTGCAGACAGAGTCCAGGCCAAAGCAAGGGCTTCCCATCATCCAGAGCCCACCCCCCTCCCCGGCTCACCGGGACTCAGCCTATATTTCTGGCTCACCTCTCGGCTCCCATCAGGTCTTTGATTTCAGGTCCAACAGCTCGGTGGGCTCTCCCACCAGGCAGGGCTACCAGTCCACGTCTCCCACTCTGTCTCCGACGCACCAGAACTCCCATTACCGGCCCAGTCCTCCACACACCTCTCCTGCCCATCAGGGCTCCTCGTACCGCTTCAGCCCACCTCCCGTGGGGAGCCAGGGGAAGGAATATCAGAGCCCACCGCCTTCCCCTCTTCGCAGAGGCCCTCAGTACCGCGCCAGCCCCCCCGCAGACGGCATGAGTGTGTACAGGTCGCAGTCGGGCTCCCCGGTTCGCTATCAGCAAGAACCCAGTGCTGTCAGCCCGCTTCCCGGCAGGCCCAAATCCCCGCTGTCCAAAATGTCACAGCGCTCCTTCCAGATGCCCCAGCTGCCCGTGGCCGTGCCTCAGCAGGGCCTGAGGCTGCAGCCAGCAAAGGCGCAGATCGTGCGGAGCAACCAGCCCAGCTCAGCCGTGCACTCCAGCACCGTCATCCCCACCGGTGCCTACAGCCAGGTTGCCCACTCGATGGCCAGCAAGTACCAGGCGGCGGCGGGGGAGATGGGGGTCAACCAGAGCAGGCTGGTGTACCAGGGCTCCATCGGGGGCATCGTAGGGGACAGCCGGCCCGTGCAGCACGTGCAGGCCAGCCTCAGCGCGGGGGCCATTTGCCAGCACGGAGGGTTGGCCAAGGAAGATCTTCCGCAGAGGCCGTCCTCGGCGTACAGGGGGGGCATGAGGTACAGCCAGACACCCCAGATCGGGCGCAGCCAGTCTGCTTCCTACTACCCCATGTGCCACTCAAAGCTGGATCTGGAGCGTTCATCCCTGCCCTCCGGCCAGCTCGGCTCGCCAGACGTGTCCCACCTCATCCGGAGGCCCATCAGCGTCAACCCCAGCGAAATCAAGCCTCACCCACCGACCCCGAGGCCGCTGCTCCATTCGCAGAGCGTCGGCCTGCGCTTCTCTCCCTCCAGCAATAGCATCTCATCCACCTCCAACCTGACGCCCAACTTCCGCCCCTCCGCCTCGATCCAGCAAATGGAGATCCCTCTCAAGCCGGCCTACGACAGGGCGTGCGACGAGCTGTCCCCAGTGTCCCCCACTCAGGGTGGGTACCCCAGCGAGCCGGCCCGTTCCCGGACCACGCCGTTCATGGGAATCATTGATAAAACCGCTCGGACTCAGCAGTACCCCCACCTCCATCAGCAGAACCGGACCTGGGCCGTGTCATCAGTGGACACTGTTATTAGCCCTACGTCTCCTGGCAATCTCCCCCAGCCGGAATCATTTAGCCCACCTTCTTCAATCAGCAACATTGCCTTTTATAACAAAACCAACAATGCACAGAATGGCCATTTGCTAGAGGAAGACTATTACAGCCCCCATGGGATGCTGGCCAATGGGTCCCGGGGAGACCTACTGGAGAGAGTCACCCAAGCCTCCTCGTACCCCGATGTGAAGGTGGCGAGGACGCTGCCGGTGGCACAGGCCTACCAGGACAACCTGTACAGGCAGCTCTCCCGGGACTCCCGGCAAGGGCAGACATCCCCAATCAAACCAAAGAGACCATTTGTGGAGTCTAATGTGTAAGAGACGCTTGTTGGAGTAAGACCCTTATGTTTGCAGCACACACTTCCAAGCTTGATTTCCATGCATATTATTATTATTAATTATTATTATTATTATTATTATTATTATTATTTTCATTTCTCTTTGGTAGCGACATGACCACGTTTCTCCGGTACTTGGTGCAGTGGTCAGACACCATGCACGCGCTCCAGCCCTTCCGTCCCCCAGCTGACTGTGAAGCCACCATCAGCCAAGCAGTACATTGCCCAATTCCAGCTGAGCTCCCTCACTTGGCAGCTGCCAACCAGGATATCCCAGTACGCGGTGCGGGGTAGGCCAGGAACATCCCCTACGCAGTGGGAGGTAACCGGATCTTTTTCAGGAGACAATCGCGTCCGATTTCAATTAGTTTCTTATGTCTCAATGAGCTCTTACTGATGACAGTTCCCAATGGGAGCAGAGCGGGTGTCCCAAGAACCTCTTCTGGGGCTGCATCTGCAGGCTGCCACACAGCAGGGCTGTTCCCTGCCCAGCACACCTTTGCTCAGACAGAGCAGAGCATCGTTTGTAGCTATGCACAGCACCCGTCCTGCTTGACCGGTGTGCAGCATTGCAATTGGAATTGAGTTTCTTTAATTGCTTACGCTGCCGGAAGGGGTGGGGATCACCAGGTGCTTTGCTACTTTGCCATCTGGGTGTCCTGATGTTGGTTTACCCCTGGGCATTTTGCAGGTGCTCAGAGATTGCACATTCATGGGCCGAGGGAACTGGGTTAGGAGTGGGACCACGGCTCAGTTGCCCCATTAGCAGATGGCTGCATCCCAAACGTGGCACCACATTTATCACCAGGACAGCTGAACGTTGGGGTTTTCATTTGTTTCGGGGCTTTTTATGGTGTTCTGTCTTTTCGACTAGGAAATCCTTTCTAAAAAGGAAATCCAGTTTATTTCTTGGCTGGGATGCATAACGTGGCACTGTGGCTCCAGGATGGGATGAGTCCGGTGACAAAGTCACTTAGGGTTGCAGGATCCATCCCAAAATCTTGGAAAGCGATTGCTCTGTTCTCTTACCTATAGATGGGAGAGATGGTGCTTTGCTCTTTAAGGACCTTTAGTTAAAAGAGAGATATTTATAATTTATTTATGTGCTCTGTTTCAGGACATTTGTTTGTGGTTTGGTTGTTTTTCTCTTATTTTTTGTAAATCAAACACAAGTCACATCAAGGCAGTGTGAACAGCGGGGGACACTTCCAGAAACCTTTGTACTGAATTTTGCAGTTGTTCCCTGGCATTTCTTGGGATGAGTGGAGGGACTTCTTTACCAATGCTTCACTTAGTGCTGCTTGCTTTGTAATTTGCCTTTCCATTACTGAGGGCGATTGGTTGGACGAGCGATAAACCTGGAGCTTGTTTTAAAGCAAAAATAGTGCCTGCTGCCCACCGCTGAGCCTCACCCATAGCAGCTCTTAACAGCAAAGTCATAGAACCATGAGGTGGTTGGGTTAGAAGGGACCTTACAGCCCGCCCGGCTCCAAGCCCTGCCATGGGCTGGGTGCCCTCCCCAGCTCAGGATGCCCTGAGCCCCATCCGTGGCCTTATGGGGCAAGAAAGGGATCTGGTGCTGAGCAGGAAGAGTGAGCAAAACCCGTTGATGTTACCAAAGGGCTACCTAAATCTGGACGTAGGTTGCAGAATGCCTCAGACTGAACCACAGCACTCAGCCTGGAGATAAGACAGACCCGGCGGTGGCTCAGCCCAAGCTGGGCACAGCAGGACCTCGTGTCTCACAGGCACACCAAGAGCATCCCGGGCTTTTCCTCTGCTTGTGCTGTGTATTTGTCCGGGGCAGTGTTTGCATTGAAGTTGGCTCATTGCTTCTCAAGTGTAGCTCAGCCCCGACCTTTGCTTTCTCACAGGGCTGGGGGAGCGCCGGCAGCGCTGCTTCTCTCCTTGGAAGCAGCGTGCTGCTGTGTGTCCCTCTTTTGGAAGCGGTTCTGCTTTGCAAATAGAAAACCCCTTCCCCTCAGCTTCCTGAACACGAGCAGCTTTCTGCCTTCAGTTGCTTTTTAGAATGGGAAAAGGAACCAAGCTCAGCCCTGCTCTGCTGCGCAGCAAAGCGCACACTTGGAGAGCTGCATGCGCTGTGCTGCTCACTGCCCCATGTCCCCCAGTGCCACCTCGGGTTTGTGAAGGTGTTTTAAGGATAAAACCAAAACACAGCTTTCACTGTAACCACACACACGGAGACGACAGTGGCGTAGTGCAGCGTGTGGGTTTGTCACGATGGTGAGTGTTGCATTTTCACGGGATTCTTGCACTAGCGGTTTTCCATCTGTTCTCTCTGTACATGGGTGCACTTTACTGTTAGAATTTGTTCCTCTGATAAATACTGGCTATTTAAGCGTGAGTAGTGTCCTCGTTAGGAAATAGCAAAGCAGCTCTCGTCTCTTGGTGTATTTTTCAAAAAAAGAAAAAAGGAAAAAAAAAAAACCAAAAAACGAACCAAACCAACGAATTGTTTCTAGCACAAGGACCAACTCTTGTACATAAGCATCGACAGGCAGAGTCACTTTCAAACACAACGTCCTTTGCAGTGGCTTGAAGGCGCTTCCCCAGCAGTTCTCATAGGGGTGAGGAGCTGCTGTCTCCCCCCAGCATCACGCTCGGGTTCGCTCACGCAGGAGCAGAGGTCGGTGTGTGTTTGTGGTCCTGTTGTGAAGTGCCCTCATTGCTCCAGTCTCACCCCACGTCCCCTCACTGCCATGTCTTTGCTGCAGACCGTAGTGCCCCACGCTGCGCTGTGCCTTCAGCTTCTTTCAGTAACTCCCATTCGGGTTTCTCACATCTTGCTGGGTCCTTTAGGGTGCACCGAGATCATTGGCAACTGTGAAACCCTCTGGATTTGGTTCTTGGGGTGCGTTTGGTCAGCAGTGTGGGAGCACACACTTGTATTGAGCTGCAGCACCAGCAGATGTCCCTTGCACTCTGTATTGCAGATCCACAACCTCAGCATGGGTCTGCTGCAGTTCTGGTTTGTGCCCTGGTTTGGAATCACACGGTTCTGGTTTGTGCCCCGGTGTAGATTCACATGGTACTGGTTTTGTGCCCGGGGATGAAGAATGCTGCAGTGCCAGGCAGGGTGCCTGCATCGTGCAGTCGTGCTGCTGCCCCTACATGCTGGGCATGACATTGGAGGGCTCTGACAACAGCCCTGAGGGACCGACAGAAGTGCTTGGCAAAGGGAAGGTGTTCCAAAGCTGAGGTCCTTGGTCCAGCCCAGAGGTGCAGCCTGGGCCGCCCACCCTGCGCTGCTTCATCCAGGGCTGAACTTTGTTGTGTTGTTTTGTTTTGTTTTGCTTTTAATTTCACATGGCTGTAAAGAAACCTGCTTAGCTAGCGTAAACTGTGTGTGTGCATCATGCCTAAGCCATATGTGGGTTAGGTCCTGAAGCGGGGTGGTACGGAACGGGCGGCGATGCAGTCCCCTCGTACAAAGGCAGTTGTGAATTCAGGGTTACCCAGAGGAAGTCTAGCTGAACCCAAGTGCCAGCTCCGCCTTACCTAGAGAAACAAGCAAGCCGCCGTGCCTGTTGGTCACAGAGGAGGTCCTGGGTCACTCCTTGGTGGCTTTGGGCTCGGATTTGTCTTCGGGGTCGCCGACGACTCGTGGTGTTGTGAGAAGGGCTGAGGGCACGGCGCGGCGCGGGGACCTCTGCAGAGAACGCCTTCGCTCCCGGATGGTTGCGCTCCCCGACGCCGCTGGGGTGCATTTGGACACAAGCACAACGGTGAAAGTCAACCTGCTTTTTTTCAGATTTGTTTGGATAATTGCTGGATTTTCATTCAATCAAACTCTTTTTCTAATCTAAAACCACTAAGGGCTCAATTCTTTAGCAAGGTGCGTTCGTGTCCAACTGACGGCAGCGGGATCTCACTGGAACTGCTCCAGATCCACCCGAAAGAAACACCGAAGCTCACGCAGTCATCACCTCTGCAGTGAATGGACACCAATGGGATCCGCCGCCTCCTCCCCTCCCGGCCACCGCCGCGTCTCAGTGCCACGCCAGCTTTGCAAGAAGGACTTCGTCCCTCCTGGGGGAGCCCCGCGGGAGGCAGGTGGGCGCCGGGACCCCGCGGGGTTGTGCCGGGTGGGCGCCTCGGGCCCAGGAGAGGCGGTCGCTTCGCCTTCGCTCCTTGCTGACCTACGGACTGGTGTGGACTTCCAGCGCCGCAGGCGTCGCTCCTGCCCGGCCTTCCCTTTCCCATAGTGTTGCATTCAGCGTTTTGTCTGTTTCTGTCTTCACTTCCGAGAGGATCCGAGTTGGTACAGACCTGTACAGTATGCACATTTTGTGATTTGTACAATCCCCCTGGTTGCCATCCTTCGAGACACTTGCTGGGAAGATCTTTAAGACACTTAATTTTCCTTTAGCTTTTCTATAATTCCGATGTAAAGGACTTTCTCTGTACAGTATATTATTCAATGCATGTTCTGTTCTCTCTACTGATGATATATTGAACACCACACAGTTGTGACATTGTGCAGTGGGGAGAACAACCCCTGCGGACAGCGGAGGCCTTCGCCTCTCATGTATAAGGAAAGAAGAAAACATATTTTTTCCTTTGCTGTATTTGCTTGAGCAGAGTTTTCTTGTCTGTACATGTGAGCTGTGAGATAGATGTGAAAAGTTCAAAAGAATGCATTTCCCCCCTTCACCCCAATGTATACAGATTGTAATCTGTACAATGAAAACTGTATGTATGAAAAAAAAAAAAAAAAAATGTACTTATTTATAAATGGTTAACACTTGGAAACAGCCTTTGGACTGATGGTTGTTCCCAGCCTCACATGAAAGATCCCAAATGGCAACTGGTGTGGGTGGGAGCAGCCTGATTCTGCCCAACCCAGGGCAGTGGGAGGTGCTTTGGGGTACCCGAAAGGATGAGTGCTGGTGAGAGGCAGGGTTAGCTGCAAATATTTATTAAGGCAGGAGCTTTCACTTTGCAGACAACACGTTGCACAAGAGGGGAAAACATTTTGAACACACTGACGTTAAATTGCACAAATGTGGCGTTGCTTGGAGCTGCTGGGGAACTTCGGTGGCTGCAGCCCTGGAGGGGCTGAGAACACGTAGAAATGTTGGTGATGGGACGCATCCAATCTGCTGCTTGGCACAAAGAGATGGGGATGGGCTTTGGAGGTTGGCAGTAGGGAAATGCTGAGCCTGGGGACGCTATATATGGTGGCAACTCCATCCACATACAGAACAGGAGATGCAGAGGGAGCCCCGAGCGAAGGCTCTGCTCACCAGTGCTGGGCACGGAGCTGGGGCACACAGAGACATCCAACATTCACCAGGACCAGGCAGCTGAGGGCCTCACTGGCTGCCTCCAGGGCTCTCACCCTCTGTGAGTGTCTTGAAGTCCATGGAGAGGGCCATCTCCTCGGCCAGTGGTGCCCGCTTCCAGTCATCCCGCGTCAGCACGTAGCCCACCACCAACCCAAAGGCCACCAGCAGCAGCCCCAGCACATTGGCCAGAACTCCCTCTGGCACAAAGTGGCTGTAGGAGTCCCTGTGGAAGCAGATGGGGATGCTTGAGTTTTGCAGCGTGGTGACCATCCCTATTAGGGCTGGAACCCCTCTCATCCACATCTTTCTCTTCCTGGAGGAAGCTGTGGTACCTCCACAGGCAGGTGCAGACATTGGGAAGGGTCCCTTGTCTCCAAATCAGAGCAAGAAGTGAGACTGCTTTGTGGAGAGGCCCTACAGGCAGCCTGGCCCCACACCATGCAGCTGGGTGCATGTGGGGCTCTCAGGAATGTGGGATCTCCCTGCATCCTCCCAGCAAGTGGGCATAGGTTTTTTGGGGGACCTGTGCTTCCCCAAAGGGTGGTTATGCATGCATCTGGCTGCAGAGCAGCCATAGTGCTGATTGTATTCCCCATTGGGACCAAAGGAAAAAGCTGCTGCAGGCCCCTATTAAACAGCATGTGGGAAGTGACTCAGCACCAGCAAAATTCAAACCCTCGGGGTGATTCACAGCCACAGAACCACAGCCTGGACAGGGGCTGGGCTCTCCCCCCTGGCTGGGTCTGGAACAGCCCTGTCAGTCTGGTGGCTACAACCCACCCAGGTCAGTCACGCACCTGATGTTGAAGAGCAACATCTCGGTGATGCCCAACAGACAGGTGGCAATGGAGAAGGCAAAGAGGGCAATGCCGAAGAAGACATGATGGGGTTTGTAACGGCCGCGGAGCGAGAAGGACGTACCAGGCACCAGGAAGAAGCCACAGCCCAGGAGCCACTGCAGGTTATTGGGGCATAGAGGATGCTCAGCCCTACAGGCAACCAACCCACAGCTCCCCATGGGCTGTGAGCACTCACCTGCAGGAGGTAGAGCACAAAGGCAGCCATCCCGCACCAGCTGTGCAGGCTGTACATGTTGGAGATGCCCTTGGCACGGTGCGACTCAAAGACGGCCACGAGGCCTGCGGAAAGGAGCTCATCAGCACTGGGGTGGGGGCCCCATTCACTGCCCCCTCCCACAGCACCCACCAACGAGCGCGATGAGCAGTGCCAGGCCGTGCAGCAGTGCGTGCAGCGCTTTGGTGGAGCGCCTGGCCTCGTTCCTGAACACCCGGTACACCAGGAGAGCTGATGGAGAGAGGGCAGTTAGTAGTGGGGCAGTGTCCACAGGCCCCCCACCTCCCCAAAACCAACACGTGTCCCTGGGTCCCCCCTATATTCCTGGGAATCCCAACCTCGACGTGGACCCCACTCTCCCTAGGACCCCCACATTCTTGGACCCACCCCATACCTCCCTGGAATCCCCACATCTCTCTGAGATTCCCATACCTCCCGGAGATCCCCACATGTCTCTGGGGTCCCCCACCTCCCTGGGACTCCTGCATGTACCTGGGACCCCCCATGCCCTTGGGTCCACCCTGTGTCTCTCTGCAACCCCCACATCTGACATCCCCCTACCTCCCTGGGACCCCCACCTCCTTGGAACCCTCACATGTCTCTGGGACACCCACACCTCCCTAGGATCCCCACACCTCCTTGAGACCCCCATGTTCCTGAGACCCTCTCCCCCACACACATCTCTGAGCCCACCCCATACCTCCCTGGGACCCCCACACCCCTGGACCCACCCCATACCTCCCTGGACCCTCCACATCTCTCTGAGATCCCCATATACCCCAGGGACCCCCCACACTCCCTGGCACCCCCACATCCCCCTGTGTCCCCCCCTACATCCCTGGGAACCCCAACCTCCCCATGGACCCCTACATCTCCCTGTGTCCCCCCCCTACGTCCCTGGAAACCCCAACCTCCCCATGGACCCCCAACTCCCTGTGTCCCCCCAGACCCCAACATTTCCCTAGCTTTTCCCACCCGGAAGCCATCCCGGTAGCACTGGGACCTTCCCACTCACCATCCCCCTGCAGGAACACCATGCCCAACACCATGCACAGCGGGTGTGCATTGAACTGCAGCGGATTCTGCCAGGCCACGCCGCCCCGGTAGCGGCCCAGCCACGCTCCCGTAGCCGCCAGCAGCGTCAGGCCCAGCAGCTGTGACACTGCCACGTAGGCTGAGAGCCCGGCGGGGCTGGAAGATGATGGGGTCCCATCCATGGTGGCCTGCAGGGACACAGCGAGGGCAGCCAGGCCCTGAGGGGGCCCACTGTGGGGCGGTGGAGCCCGGACCGCCCTCACCTGCCACGGGACTTGGATGCTTCCTGCTGCGTCACCTGCGCAGGGTTGCACCCAGCAACCATGGCACGCCCAGCCCTGCAGGCTCCTGTCCTCACTCTGCTCCTGTCCCCAAGCTCCTAATCCTCAGTTCCTCTCTACGCTCTGCTCCTGTCCCTGAGCTCCTGTTCCTGCTGTTCTCCTGTCCCCACGCTCATCTCCCCACTCTGCTCCCATCCCCAGCCACCTGACCCTGAGCTCTTGATCCTGCTGTGCTTCTGACCTCGGAATCCTGTCCCTAAGTTCCTATCCTTGTCCTTCTGTCTGTGTTCTCCTGTCCCCTGCCCACATTTCTGTTCTGTAGATGTTAGGAGGAAGTTTTTCAGCCAGAGGGTGGTGAGGCACTGGAACATGTTGCCCAAGGAGGCTGTGGATGCCCCATCCCTGCAGGCATCCAAGGCCAGGCTGGATGTGGCTCTGGGCAGCCTGGGCTGCTGGTTGGCGACCTGCACATAGCAGGGGGTTGGAACCAGATGATCCTTGTGGTCCTTTTCAACCCAGCCCATTCTATGACTCTATAATTCCCCCATTTCCTCCACCTGGCCCCAACCCCAGCCCTCCTGTCCCTGCATGGCTGCTGCTGCCTCCAGCCTTCATACCACATCTGTTCTTCCCCATTTCTCCTGCCCCAGCCCTTCAGCTACATCCACTCTCCCACCCCATCCCCATCCCCACCCTTCTCACTCCCTTCCAATCCACAACCCCATCCCTCCATTTCCATCCCATCCTTCCTCCTCCATCCCTCCCCATCTCCATCCCTCCATGCCCACCCTGCCTTTCACATCCCTCCCCACCACATCCCCACCCCACTGCACCCCCAAAAGCCCAAAGCAGTCACCCTTGGGGACAGGGGTTGGGGGGTAGGACACCACGATAGCCACGCTCACAGCCCTTGCAACTCACCTACAGCCACTTTGTGTCGGGTTATCCGCAGGGATCAGAGCCACCTCCACCAGCACAGCCACTGCTCTGGGTCCTGTCAATGAGGGCCACCAAGTCCCAGCCCCAGAGCCACCTCTGTCCCTGTCTATGCTGCGCAGCGTCTGGGGCCAGGCTGTGACAGACAGACCAACAGTACTGCCAGGACTGGGGGGGAGGCAGGAGGTGGGCATGCATTAAGACCACGCACACACTTTATTCCCAGCCACCTTTATTGGATCAGCTGGATAAGTGGGTTAAGGGAATTGGTTTATTCCATTAGGTTTCACTGCAAATGTCGCCTGTCCGCGTCCAGCCCCAGCGCCTGGGGCCACGGAGGCTCTGGGAGACACAATGGGGACAGGGGCAGGGTGGGGGTAGGAGAAGCAGAGAGGTCCCCTCCCCACTACACAATGCCCCCCACAACCATGGGACCTGCCCTGAATTGGCACCTACCCCATACTGCCCTGCCCCATCTGGCCTCGAATTTGGCAAAAAGGGCTAAGATGTCATCAACCAGAACTTGAGTGCCAGCTGCAAACACCTGGATGTGAGGGGACAGCCTGGTCCCCAAACACCATGGGATCTGCAGGTGGCCCCTTAGCCCTGGAAAGAACAAGTTTATAGCCACCACCAAACACTGGGGTGAAAAGCATCCCCCCAGCAGAGCAGTGGGTCAGCAACACAGCAGATCAGTTCCCCCTCCAAATATTGTCCCCGCCCCAAAATGCTGTTCCCTCCCTACTGCTTTTTCTCATGGTGGGGACCTGCCTGTCCCCCTGCTACTCAGTCCCCCAGCAGCCTGCAATCCACTCCAGGGCAAACCCGGTGTCATTCAGAGCAGAGGAGGGTCTTTGCTTATCCCCCTCCACGTGGTGTGTTGGGGAGGTGATGTGTGCAGCCTCTCACTGTGACCTCTGCCCAGAGTCCCCCTCAAATCCCTGGGGATGATCTGGGAGTCGCCTGGGGATCCCTGCTCTGGATTGGGGCTATAGGTTCATGCAACGATGTTCTGGGGGTGGGGGGGGGGAGGATCCTGGTGTACACCCACACTGCACGATGCAGCCCCCCACCACCACCCCCCACTCTTACCTGGGTGTGCTGCCAGCTCCAGGCCCTGCAGTGACAACGTCTGAGCCAGGGACGAGGCCACTGTGTTGGCAAGGCAACAGCACGATGGCAAGGCGAGGGAGGGGGGGTTGAACCCCCACCCCCAGCATCACTGCAGACCGAGGGTGCCATGACAGCGGGCCGTAGGCTGCAAAATGGGGTGGGGGGGAATCTGTCACAGTATGGGGACAGTCCCCAGAGCTGTACATCACTGCTGTGTGCCCCCCCCCCCCGCACTGCCAGGCCCTGCCACCCCACCCACCACCACCTCTCCCAGGGGACACAGCCACCCCCTGGTTGCACCCCCACCCAGAGACCCCCCCAACCCCACACGCAGCCCCATACAGAGAACACTGCAGCTTCACGACTTGTTTTTTTTTCATTTGAGCAGGGGGACATGCGTGGGTTTAACGTAATTATCTCCTGCTAATCACCTGCACCCCTATCAGCAGCACCAGGGGATGTTTTGGAAGCCGCAGGGCTGATGGTAGGGTGGGTGTGAAGGCTGATGGTGGGAGGGGGGGAGCATGTCCCTGTGTCCCCCTTCCCTGTGTCCCCCCGTTTGTGTGCGCGTCCGTGTGTCCGTCACACAGTGCCACTAGATGTCACCAGGAGCTCGCAGTGCGCAGCATCCCCGGAACTGAGCACCCCAAGGGACTCGCAGCACCCTACTGTCGAGAGCTGTGGGACCTGGAGAACCCAGTGACATGGAGCACTTGTGGGACCTGGAGGACGTGTGGGGCCTGGAGCACGCAAGGACCTGGAGGATCTGGTGAGACCTGGTGGAATCTGGAGCATCCAAGGAGCTGATGGGACTTGGTGGGACCTGATGGGCCCTGGGACCCGGAGCACCCAAAGACCTGAAGGATTTGGTGAGACCTAGTGGGATCTGGAGCACCCAAGAAACTGATGGGACCTGGTGGGACTTGGTGGGATGGTGGGAACTGGAACACCCAAGTCGCTAATGGGACTTGGTGGAACCCGATGGGACATGATACCTGGAGTATCAAAGACCTGAAGGATTTGGTGAGACCTGATGGGATCTGGTGAGACCTAGTGGGACCTGGAGCACCCAAGGACCTGAAGGTCCTGGAGGATGTGGTGAGACCTGGTGAGATCTGGAGTACCCATGGACCTTGGTGCGATCTGATGGGACCTGGTGGGACTTGGAGCATCCAAGGACCTGGTGAGACCTGGTGGGGTCTTGTGAGAGCTAATGAGATCTGATGGAACCTGGAGCACCCAAGGACCTGAAGGATTTGGTGAGACGTGAAACCTGGAGCAGCCAAGGATCTGGAGGACCTGGGGAGACCTAATGGGATCTGGTGAGACTTGGAGCACTTTCCAGCTGCTGCTGTGTCATGGGAAGCACATCCTGGAGGTTCAACAGAGCTGACATCCCCATTCCCAATGGAAACTCATCACCCTAACAGCAAAGCCTGCTCTCTGCTCCAGGGCAGAGCCTCACGTGCAGCAGCCTCAAGACCTCGTCCATGCAAGCATGACTGCAACCCTTGGCACAGGGGCACTGCACCTTGCAGCAGCATTATCTCTGCAAAGCAATTGAAAATGTGTCAATAGTTCTTCTGGAAGGGACCAAGGAAGGTCAGCAAGTCTGCCTGCCTGGCCACTAGCAGTTAAAGTGGGATACGGAGGGCATTTTTCAAGTGCCCCCTGAATGCAGAGGTGTGGGCACCCTGGAACCCTGTGTCAGTGTCTGACAACAAAGATATTTCTCTTATAGCCTCATCTGAGCCTTCCCTGGCACAACTGTGTGGTGCACCCACCCACTGTGCCATTGGTGGCCAGGGAGCAGAGACCAGGCAGTCCCAGGGCCTCTCCTCCCACCCGTGGATCTGTCAAACAGATCCAGCCCTATATTGGAACCCTGGGAGCGCTGCAGGTGTTGAGCCCCATTCAATGCAACCTCTGGAGCTCTTCCACTCAGTCCTCCAACAGTCAGAAAAATGCCAAGGATGGACCCCCCCCCCTCCGTGAGCCCACATTGGCTCTGACAACAGCTTTGCTCTCTGGGTGCTGTCCACCTTTCCCAGGACCCCTTCCCCACATGTTCCCCAGTCAGGGGTCATCCTGGCAGGGCTGCAGCTCCCAGTGGCAGATGGGGATAACGCTGGCTGGCATCCAGCTGGCAGGATCCTCTCCAGACCTTTGGTAAATCGTTTGGTAAATGGTTTACCAGAGCTAATCTCAGCCATAAAACCCATCATAAAGTGCAAACCTTTAGCAGCTGGGCAGCAGCTCGTGGCAGGGGTCAGCCGGGCTTTTGGGCAGAGCTGACAGAGGGTTTCCCCTTCTGTGGGTGGGCTGAGACCTTTGGAAAAGCCTTGAAGAGGATGAGAGTTGGGGCTTCCTTCGGGAGAGATGGCAAGATGGGAAGCTCCACCCTCCTGCTAAGAGCAGCAGTGTTTTAATATGGAGTCGTGGAACTGCAGCACGGTTGGCTTGGAGGGGACTTTCAAGCTGGGTGTCCCTCACCAAATCAAAGTCCTATTCACAGCCTTGGGCACCTCCAGGCAATGCAACAAAGCATCCTTATACTAGTTATAGCCACACAGCAGCCCACAGCCCTACAGGGTTGGATGCACATGGCTGCTCATCCCATCCACACACTGGGAACAAACCCGAGGCCATTGGTTCCTTGCACCCATCAGGCACAGGGGACACAGCAGTGGCAATGTGGGGACAGCTCAGGCCCTGCCACCAGCCCTGCATGCTGGGCTCCACCAGCATTTTTTTGTAACAGGCTCTTTAATTAGCAACGTTGCCAGGGACATAATAGCTTTATTAAATCTGCCTGTAATGAAACCATCAGCACACTGCCAGGATGACACTGTCCCCACTGATCCCCTCTGTGGCCTGCAGCAGCTCTGAGCTCCTCTAGGGCTCCAAAGGACCACCAGAAGCCCCTCAGATCAATACCCCATGTGCTGCCCACCCACACCCCCCCAGCTGCTGCCCCATCTCCTCCCTCCACCTGAGATGATGCAGTTACCGTTTTGCTGATCTAACGCCTCGCTGGGGTGTTGTTTCCTTTTTTTCTCTCCCCTAAATCAACTTTTTATTGCTTAAGAAATGCTGATGGGAAGGATGAGTCCCCAGGAGCGGCTGCGGGAGCACAGCTGCCAAGATTGGCTTTGTCACTAAATGCAGTGGGAAAAATAATGCTATTTCAAGGGGTTGATGGGTGCAGCTCAGGACTGATCACTTTGCAAATCCAATGGGTTTGG